CTTACTCAAGGGCTCATAGACATACGACTATTGTGCTGAGGCCAGGCCATAAACCAGCAACCTTCTGATCACAGAAACAGAGGCCTAGCACACCGAGCCACACATCACTTCTTCTGCCCATCATGCAGCTGTCCATAACCCTACTTCTGTTGGCTTTTTCAACACCGGGGACTTCTCTCACACCAATGCCCGCCTCGCCAACATCGCTGGAACAATATGACTGTCCACCATATAAAGCTGGACCGATCAGTGCGTTGATATTTCCAACTGTGTCTCAATTTACAAGATCTTAGACACCACTGCCATTACTTCAGCTAATAGACCTGTAGTGTCATCAAGATTTGCCAAGAAGCAACATGCCCTTCCAGAAAATTACATTTCTGGGCTTTTCTGCAGTCCTGCAGGCTATGATTTCCTACCTCACACAGCTGCTGGTCCAGCTTATAATCATCTCCTGAATTTACTGTTATGGCTTCCAGTGAGCTGGACCCTCTGCATGCGTCATCAGGCCACCACGACTTGCCGTCATACATCTTTAACCTCCAGGAAAAGCCGATGAGTTTCATCGCTCTTGGCTTCCTGTCACTGGCTGTGAGCCCATTTGAAGCTCAAAGCCTAGCATGAAGGGTGAAGGGAACAGCTCTGTTGTATATATTATACCACATCCCATAAATAGTGCTATTTTCAGTATTGTGCGGATGTCTGACTCTGCTATAAATCTGTGCACAAAATTTTCTCCATGCAAACCTAATTCTCTACGATTCTTGATTACCTCATTTAACTGTATTCAATTACTGTGCATGCACTCATTTGGTTACAAGCATCTACTTAATGTATTAATAAAGATTCATACTGGGGGAAGCAAAGAATGGACCGTTTCAGGTGAAACATTTGCCAGTTAAAAATGCTACCTGGCAGTGGTAAATCAGTAGTGCAGTGCTATTCCCTGAGCTGGAATGCAGATGGTAAATGTTCAGGCAAGTTACAACATCCACGCCCATGGCTAGGAATGTGCCGTGAGCATGTACTGTAGCAGTGCAAGCAAGCTGTGTGCTTTCCATGGGTGCTGCATTGCATTCTGGTACTTTCTATACCTACTGGCCCTGTCATAACAATGTGGAGGAACCCAAAGATTGAAGTAACGTGTTTAAAACGAAGAGCAACAGGCCCATATTCAAGTATGCAAGAAGTCTGGGAAATTGTTCCTTCTGTTTACTCTTTAGTTATTGTTTTTGTTTAATACTTACGTTAGATAAATAAGGGTGGCAGAAGAAGAGATATTCTACAATAATATTTCAACATAACGTAGTCAATTATGACACTGAAAGGGTCTAAACTGCACAGCAAATCAGAAGGTGGAACAATCCAACATTTAACAGTACTTGTTTATGTCACACAAACGCTACCAAAAAAAAAAAAAATACTGAAATATTAATATTTGCTTTATATCATAGAGTTATTGTTTGAATCTACAAGGTGCTACACTGGTATTTATTGAACCTGAAACTTCAAAATCAAAATTTATTGCAACACACTGTATAATGACTAAAGCACAGCAGAATCAACTGGATATCAGGTGCGCTTCCGGTACTCTGTCATTTTTCACAAATAAAAAGTATTATATCTCCAAATTCCCCCTTTTTTTAATTGAGCAGGACAAACTTCCTCATTATGTAGAAAGGGGATTATAAATAATTAAAAGAGGAAACTAAAAAGCCAGATGTTGAAATATTGAGCCCACGTCCATTGACAGAAATTCTCTGCCACCTGGCAAAATATCACTTTGGGCCTCCTCAGTAGATTTTGTGGTTGGGGGCCGGAAACGCCTCCCATTTGACAAAAATATAAAGACACATTTATGGCATCAGATCTCACCTACAAATTTGCTTTTTTATTTTACACTGTAACACAGTAGTAGTAGCATAACAGAAAAACCCAATAAACCGCCTACTGTTTTTAATCGTACATGAGACTGGCATGATTAACAATTAACTGCTTATCAGGATGTTAATAAGGGAACGATTTGACAATGAGAATAAATCCAATCTGTGGACTTGATCTTTAAAACTCCAAAACATACGTAAAATTTTTTGGACAGATGCGTTGCTAATATTTATTAGATAATCTGAATTATATCCATATTTCTAAGGCATTATATGGACACAAAATAAAACAATAAATTATCATTTCAACATACCACATTCCATTAATCCATAATTTTGAAATAATATTACAAAAACATTTATAGCATTCATTTACACTATTTATGTCTGCTCAGTGTATACTTCTGGTCAATAAAAACAGGGGCGATTACAAAAGGTCTCCACTGGACACTCTGCTCCGATATGCATGCACTTCTACAAAATCTACAGGAAGGTATATACTGTCAGCAGATACACACGTAGAGACGTCTGCTACGTGTGCTATACTCTAAAGGAAATAATCTTGTAATCAATTTTTTTTTGGTTAATTTGGATAAGAAAAACTTTTAGCTGTTGTAATTAATGCTGGTAGATTTCTCTGATTTCTTCATGTGAGCAAACTAGGTGCCATTGACTTTATTTGTCACTCACGCCCCCGTCCAGGACTCTACTGTCACATGCAGATATGCTTCAGACATCATGTGGTGCAGTGAAAGGGAAGTGATGTGTAAGAAGGTACTGGTTGTATCGCAATAATAATGAAAACACTGTCAAAACAAATGACATCAACAGGAATCAGAGTTCAATAGCACTCGTGGCTCTCAATGGAATTTTCTGACTAATGAACTCAACAGCATAAAAGCAGTGTAATGAAAACTGCCCCCACTGGCATCTTGTACATGCTGTACCCCAGTCTTCTGCACTGTGTTGCTTGGGATAGACTCCAGGTTTCCTGTGACCCTGACCAGAATAATCAGATAGAACATGATTGGATGAATGGATGGATGGATGGGTGGATGGATGGATGAAAAATTGTCCCCACTAGCTGATTTATAGTCTACAGATAAAATTTTCTGTGCCACATATTGCATATTGTGATGCTATCCTAACAACTGCTCAGACACAAAAGTATCACTAATCATTAATATGTTAGAAAAATAAAAAGAGGATATATATATATATATATGAGTGTATATATATATATACACTCTTGTTCAATACATGCTGTGCAGTTAACCATCGAATCATTGTTCTTTTTCCAGAACTAAGATAACTTACAGGAACAAAAATGTTCTGCTACATATGGCCCCCATGCTGTATAATTTTGTTTAAGTATAGGACATTTTATTATACTTAAGGCAGGAATCATGACTCATAACTATAGCAGACAGCTTTATCCAAAGCAACTTACATAACACTGCTTAATATTTCATTTAGATGTCTTCCTTAACTGTGATCTGCACCACTTATGTTTCTCTTCGGACACAATCTTTCTAGTTACAAGTACAGCATCTCAACCACGAAGCTACCTGATGTACTACAATGTCAGCCAACAGGGCAGTCAACAGTGGACCTCAAAGACTAATATTCTGCGGCCACAAAGAAAAACGAGCTGTGCGTCTCTGACGTCCGCCTTGCACGGTGTTGCATCATCTGTACTGCAAGATTCTGTTTCCCCGTTCCTCTAAGAAAACCGGGACAAGCATGTGCCTGTCTGCCGGCCTCGGAACCCAAGCTTGCCCCATTCCATAAAGGCTCCACACCTAATTAGAAGAGCATCCATGGTGTAGCTTTCATGGATTCCAGAACATCTGTGGTTAGATGAGCAGAGGAGATGCATTAAGTTGCATGGTAATGACAGTGGTGATGATGATGATGATGATGATTATGATTATTATTATTATTATTATTATTATTAGCTGGAGAAGCACTGCAATACAGAAGAGTTGGATCAACCCATAAGAATCTGTACTTGTGTATATTAGAAGAAAGGAAGTTCAACATGCTGTCAGATCCAGGCACATGTGTGCCACCATGCAGGATTAAAAAGAAAAAAAGATTACATATAGCGGAAAGTATGCTGCATGATAGGAAATGTCATGCAGAATAAAACAACTTTCTGGCTGGAGAAAAACTGTTGAATGGGGAAAAAACTGTTTTTTGTTTGTCTGAGAATGAAAATAAATTATTATATTTGTATTTTGGTGAATAATATATGAATATATTTCATTCTAATAATGATACCCCTAACCAGTTGGACTGCTGAATGACTAAGTAGAAATATTTTACTCTGATCATCAATCCATCATTTGTTGCCTCCCATTGTCTACTCTACTCCTTATCTTGCCCGGAACGTATGAATGGATACAGCTACTACTTATTTAACAAAGAAAAGTAATACAGCAGTTAATCTTAATATAATATTTAATCTAAATTATTTATATAGCAAATTTAGTTCTAGTCTAGAAAGAAGCAAGTAGAGTTCTACTCCATGGCTACTAAAAAAGCACTTTAAGTGGACGTTTAAATGCAAGGAAGGGAAACAATGATTAAAGGTTAGTTAGCAAACCACCATGATCGAGCAACATAAAAGAAGCTTTCAGCCTCCCGATGATTAAATTCCACATCATGCCTGCACTAGACAGCTTTGAGTTCTCTGGTTCGTCGCATGATTAAACACCCTGCAGTCCGCACACGTCAAGAATCATCACTGTTCTTCACCGGAATAAACGGTTGTTAAATTTCCACGCAAATGCAACGCAAATCACTAAATCTTATCATATAAGTTTGTATAGGTATAGAAATGAATTGATTTATACTCAACCATTGAGCATCAAGAAACTATGATCATTTTCCGTGAGGGCAATGTTACTTGCATTTTCTAAATTCACTCATATAAGTAATGTAGAAATATGGTAATTGTAGACGAGAATGAAAAATGATAGATCAAACGAAAACTGATTAAGTAGATATGTCTTTGTGTAAAGTAAATATAAACACATCATACACACACGATTTCCCCGGTACCTCTTACCATGCTTAATACGTATATATAGTGCAAAATAATTTAACACTTACCTTTGGAGTAGGTAGTTGATATGTCCTGGGTCAGACAGGCTTTATAACTTTTTTTCGAAAGAGAATAATTCATCAGTTAAATCATAATAATAATAACTTTAAAGTAACACAGTACTTTCTTCGATGGCAAGAAACATTATGCATCCACGGAATCCGCACCTGGACTGTCAATCACAGCCGGATCTAGATATAAACAGACAATACAGATAATACAAAACCATCAAAATGTCAGTGGTGTTTATTGCTCTGTAAAAACGTGCAACAATATGTAACTACTAAAAAATATTTGCGTTATAAAATATAGTCCTTTAGGACAGGAGAGGAGAATGGGATCTACAGTACTAACTACAACCGTAGGACCTAACGGGTAAGTTGTGAAACATAGAAATAATATAGAACTAGAAGGGAACGAACTGGAAACGCCCTCTTTACTTTGAACTTCTCAGTATGGCGGTAGGTGCACCCAGGAAGGCTGGTTTCTCGTTCAATGTGATGCAAATAGACGTGCACTTTACAAACCGCTAATAACAAAACTTTGACCTTTTAAACCCTATAAATAGTTTGTTGATTTCAGGCATTTCCCAGTTTCAAATTTTCTCTGCCTATTCAATGCACACTGCCTAATAACGTGATCTTTTTATGTATTCTGTATTATTATTGAAAAATTAAATTAATTTGGATAAACTAATTATCAGATCCAGTTATTAAAGTTATATTTTATACTATTAAACCATCAGTGGAGATTTGTACAACATGCTACGTTATACCAACATTTCACCGTTTTGTTGGTGACTTGACAGCATTGTTCCCAAATCTACCATAAATCAGCCCAGACCCTCCTCATAAATCTCCTTGTAAAAAAGTTATGTGCTGCAGGTCAGGGGTAAAGCTCTCTGTGGTCAATTTCTTCCATGGTATCACCCATGGCCTGTGACCCAACGCTTGGAACTGCAAATAGATTTTTGCCTTCCAAGACTGTGATAGCTCTGCTTTGGTTCCTTTCCTGGAAATACTGCTTCTGTACAGCAACACATTTCCGCAGTCTGTCTTTGTTCCAGATTAACGTGTTAGGGGAGAGTGTTAAATGTACCACACTACTGCTGAGGTCAGTGATAGAAGATGCTCATCTGGCCTTTGCATGGTGGTTGTGTAATTCTTGTGAATTTGTAAAGAGCCCTCTATCTCAAAATAAAAACACTTGATTCGGTACTCTCTCTTAAGAGAAGGCAAATTCATGTATTAAACTTCATCCATAATACAACCCTCCACCCATTTTGCAACCTCCTATCCAGGCCAGGGTTTGGGGGGTGTGGTGTGTGTCTTATCCCAGACAGCAAAGGACACAAGGAAGGGGTATTACCCCCAGGATAGGATGCCAATGCATTGCAAGACACACACACAGTGCAGGGCAGGGCAGAGTGTTTTCGAGGGGCAGGTGTTTGAGCAGTTAAATTTGCCAGTGCGGGGGGTCCCCTCGGTAAAATCTGAAATGGTGCACCTAGGACTCAGAAGTGAAGCACTGTTGTTTGTCCAAAGGGACAGGTGCTCAGGTGATTCCCCACCCGCACTTCTCTGTATAACAGTTTCACACCATGGATTATTTAGAGAGGCTGCATATCTTTGAACTAGTGGAGGAAACCCAGACAGGTTGAGACCTTCTGCCCAAATATGTTGCTAATAAATCTGAGAAAAGCAGAATCACACCCTTAAATTAGCTTTACAATTATGTTACATTTAAATTATGGAGCTAAATCACATAAGTCAGTTCAAGTTAACGTCCCAAGTATTGGTAGCCCATCAAAAAGACACATTTTAAAGACAAGTACTGTACTCTGCTGCAGGACAGTCTGTGCACACATGGGTGAAAAGCAAACTTTTTTTTTTTTTTTTTACTACCTCTTCCAACGTCTGTTTCCCACACGCCACCTGGTGGACACAGGCTGCAAGCTCTCATTCTTCATACTGCATAGTAGAACACTATGTGAAAAAAAGACTAATATGGGCTGTATTATGTGTCTTTGATAGACACCTGTTCAGAACAAATGAACAACAGTCTCAACCAGTCATCCATAGATAATCTGCCTCTTATCTGAGGTTGGGTCACAAGGACAGCAGTCTGAGCAAGGATGCCCAGACCTCCCTCTCCCCAGCCACCTCCTCCAGCTCCTCTGAGGGGATACCAAGGCGAGAGGTGTAATGTCTCCGGTGTGTCCTGGGTCTGCCTTGGGGCCACCTCCCATTTGGACATGCCAGAAGCACTTTGACAGGGAGGTGTCCTAGACAGAGACCCGAACCACCTCAGCTTATTCCCTTCAATGTGGAGGAGCAGCAGCTCTACTGTTCTGGACAAAAGTTTTGAGAATGACACAAGTATTGGTTTTCACAAAGTCTGCTGCCTCAGTTTTTATGATGGCAATTTGCATAAACTCCAGAATGTTACGAAGTGATCAGATAATCCTTTTTCCATGAAAATGAACTTTATCCCAAAAAACCCATTTCCAACGCATTTCAGCTCTGACAAAGAAGGACCAGCTGACATATTTTCAGTGATTCTCTCGTTAACACAGGTGAGAGTGTTGATGAGGACAAGGCTGGAGGTCACTCTGTCATGCTGATTGAGTTAGAATAGCAGACTGGATGCTTTAAAAGGAGGGTGGTGCTTGAAATCATTGTTCTGCCTCTATTAACCATGGTTACCTGCAAGGAAACACGTGCAGTCATCATTGCTTTGCACAAAAAGGACTTCAGAGGCAAGGATATTGCTGCTAGTAACATTGCACCTAAATCAACCATTTATCGGATCATCAAGAACTTCAAGGAGAGAGGTTCAATTGTTGTGAAGAATGCTTCAGGGCGCCCAGCAAGTGCCAGGACTGTCTCGTAAAGTCGATTTAACTGCAGGATCGGGGCAGCACCAGTGCAGAGCTTGCTCAGGAATGGAAGCAGGCAGGTGTGAATGTATCTGCATGCACAGTGAGGAAAAGACTTTTGGAGGATGGCTTGGTCTCAAGAAGGGCAGCAAAGAAGCCATTTCTCTCCAAGAAAAACATCAGGGACAGACTTGATATTCTGCAAAAGTTACAGGGATTGGGCTCCTGAGGATTGAGGTAAAGTCATCTCTGATAAACCTCCTTTCCGATTGTTTGGGGCATCTAGAAAAAAGATTGTCCGCATTCATGTGTGGGTTGCTTCTCAGCCAAGGGAGTGGGCTCACTCACAATTCTGCCTAAGAACACAGCCATGAATACAAAATGATACCAAAACGTCCTCTGGTAAACCTTCTCCCAACCATCCAAGAACAGTTTGGTGATGAACAATGCCTTTTCCAGCGTGATGGAGCACCGTGCCATAAGGAAAAAGTGATAACTAAGTGACTCGGGGAACAAAACATCGACATTTTGGGTCCATGGCCAAGAAACTCCCCAGACCTTAATCCCTTAATCTGATTCCTTAATCCCAATGAGAACTTGTGGTCAATCCTCAAGAGTCGGATGGATAAACAAAACCCCACAAATTCCGACAAACTCCAAGCATTGATTATGCAAGAATGGGTTGCCATCAGTCAGGATTTGGCCCAGAAGTTGATTAACAGAACGCCCGAGCGAAATTGCAGAGGTTTTGAAAAAGAAGGGCCAACACTGCAAATAATGAAATGAAATGCTCGTAATTATACTTCAGTATACCATAGCATAGAAACATCTGACAGAAATATCTACAAACACTGGGGTAGCAAACTTTGTAAAAACCACTTTTGTATCCATAATCTTTCTTTCAGTCACAACCCAAAGCTTGTGACTATAGACAAGGGTAGGAACGCAACCTTATCAGTATCATGTTTAATATGTCCAACATTGTCCTATGTGTTTATAAATTACTAAAAACAAGGCCTTAAGTCAAGTGTTATCAGCATTTATTGGGGGCATTGTGCTATAGGGGATTAAAACGGATCATGTTAAGGTTTCCACTCCCTTCCTGCTTGTACTATACAGGATTCTGCATGCACTTTTCTACTAGATCTCACACTGCCAATAAACTTACAGGAGACAGCAATACACATGTGCCCCGCAGGAATTTCATAGTTCTGATTTACTGGTTTACTTTCTCACACCTTCCAGTTCTGGGGGTTCATATGCTACCGGTGGATGTGTGTATGGGTTTTTCTCTGTTTTTATGGGTTTTCAGCAGGTATTCCAGATGTGAACTAGTGACTATCCGTCACATGGGTGTGTTTAAGAGTGTCCCATGTCTTTTAGCCTGTCTCATAATGAGCCTGCACTGGGACACACCGTAGATGGGAATACCAGCCCATCAGAGAGACCACACACTATAGGCAGTTTAGACATGCCAATTAGCCTAACTGTTAACGATGGGAGGAAGTCCATACAGCAGAGGACGAACATGCAAACTCCAAACACACAAAGCGTGTGTCAATTTCACCCTTGGAGGTACAGAGGCTACAGTGGTACTTAGCAATTGTGGCATCCATTTACAATAGTATGAGTCAAACAAATAAAAATAAATACAATGTGGAATGTTATTGGTGTATTACTATGTACAACAATGACAAAACGGAGACAGGCTTCAGGAAATTAAAAAACATATGTGCAGTTAATTTTAGTTTTTGAACATTAGGCTTAAAATTTCTTGCAACTGTAAGACAGTGTATGTATACACATAAACACACACACACAAACATGACCTTGTTACAAATAAAACATAGAGATTACAGCTGAATTTTATTTTTCTCTACATATTTTTACAAAGCATATCCAAGTGGAAAAACAAGGCAAAGTCATGTTTGACCTTTTAACAATCTATTCTGCAGAAAAGCGGCACATTGTAAATATAGCAACGTAAGATTTAAAAAATTCAAAACACATTATTTGACTGAACAATAAACCAGAAGGTAAATACAAACAGGGTCTTGACAAAGGAAGTAGTGTTTTAATTGGTCTAGATTACTGTTTTATAGACACAGTGGTTTCCTTGACAGGAGTAAACTTATACACAATATTTCTCAAAGCCAAAAGAACAATTAAAATAAATATTTATGGCTGGATTTCTGTTTTTAAAAACCAGAGTAGTGACTAAAATCTATTGCTTTGGAATGAGAGGTCTGTTTGTAAGAAATGAAAGATTTTCCGCAATTTTCTCGAGGGAATTTTTAATTTGTTAAACCATTTGTTTTGCCTGCTCAAAACATCAACAAATGTCTTCAGTTTTTAATTGGCTTATTTTGCACAAAGTTGAGGGCTTTCTGGTTCATGGAATTATAAGATTTTCACTGTTTTTCCAGACAACTGCTCTCAGTGACGACCCCCCCCCCCCAAGCACAATCCTCAAAAATCCTTATTTTACCCAGTCACTCATCTTTTCTTCTTGCTCTC